GGACTGAGGAACATTAAGAAAATAACTGTGAGGGGTAAGAGTCTGGCTGCAAGGAAATGTGTCACTGAGGGAAGTAACAAAAACTGACCTAAGGAGAAAGATTTTTCCAGTAGCCTCCCTCTTGTGGGAGAAACCAAGAAAAGCAATGCAAGGAGGATTATTATTTTTAAATATGCAGTGCCCTTTGATTAGAAATATCCCTAAGGCAGATGATGAGGGAGGCTCATGGTGCCTGGGGGCTCCCAGCCAGGGTGCTGGCAGGTCTGGGCTGCGCCCGCTCTCGGTCCTGGTTTGAGAGCCCCAGAATAGAATTTCTCCCAGGGGGCAATCACAGGGGGGCAGGAGGGGCAGCTGTGCCAATGGGGAGGAGAGGGTGGGTCAGGTGACACCAATGGACCAATCACAGCCTCCCTTCCCATGGTGCTCAGTATATAAGGGCCCCTAAGCAAAGCCCTGGGGTTTCAGTGCTGCTGGGCTAGAGGGGTTGCTGTTGGGGGTTTGTTGTCTCTCCATGTGCTGCTGGTGTTCCTGGCTCTTTTTTTTACACTGTGGAGGAGCAGCATTTGATGGGACAGGTTGTTTTCCCCAGTATGGCTACTTTTCTGGTTTGTTTGGAGTTTCTTTGTTGTTGGTGGTGGTGGTGGTTTGGGTTTGGGTTTGGGAGGGTGGGGGCTATCTTTGGGACTATGGGCTTGGGTGGTCTTGTCTGCTCCCAAGTCCACTCTGGGACCATTTTTTCTCTTGCTTGGGACTTTGTTGTCACCTGGAAGGTGTGGGTTCTGTGTTAACATATTCTTGTGTATCTTTGAGCATACTTGCATGGATCTGTAATATAGTTTGATGTCTTTTTTGTAATTGCTAGCATTTGGGGCTTTTTTTTTTTTGTTGAATTGGTTCAAATTTGGGTTTTTTCAACCTCAGAGTCTTTCTCCCTGGTTCCTATGCTATCCTCCCCTGGGAGGGTGGTGGGATCACAGAGAGCCATTCTCAGAGTTTAGGGGCTGGGCCCGCTGTAAATTAGCTGTAAATTTTGACAGTCAGTTGGGCTGGCCATCTGCAGCCACAAGCTGTCATTTTTAAGCCCCAAAGCTTGGCCTGAGGTAGAATTTTCCTGAGCAGCATTCTTCGAAGTCACCATCCAAAACGAAGGCTCCTGTGAGGTGAGCTGCTGACTGCAGCCATGCTGCCCCTTGGCTGGGGCTG